AGCTGATTCGAATGGTGGTGGTTTCATCGAATTCTGTCCAGTGGTTCAAGAGTTATGATCGTTTTTGTAGGTTAACACTATATACTTCTCAAAATTTATTAAATTAACATATATTTTATTTAATTACTTATTTAAAAATTGAAACTTGGTATTCCAAATAGATTAAATATCAAATAAACTTTTTTATTATAATTATAAACTCTAAAATCTAGGTTTAGATTATAAATAACTTGTCTAAACTTCTAATCTTAATATCTAGTAGATATATAATTCAAATATAAACTTTTTCTATATAGTTATTTGTAAAAAGTTTAACTAAGTTTAATAAAGATAGAAATATAACCTTATCTTAATATTTTAAAAAAAATAAAAAATAAACAAAACAATACTAAATAAGATTGAAGATGAGGTCTTATAGTCTAGTAATCTAGATGCCTCTCTTTTTATAGACAAGGTTACCAGTTCAATTCTAGCTGAAGACAAAACTCTGTAATCTATAGAAGCATATAAATATATACAAAACCCTGTAACTTAAGTTTATATAAATAGAAGATTAGTATTTAAAAAAATTTCTGAAAAAAAGTTTTCTAATATAAAGAGTTGACACTCGATATAAGAGAAGCAGTAAACATACCAGAAATAAAGAGAAAACACACTAGTAGGTAATACAGTAAACATAAAAAAAAACTATAAGAAAAAAATAAACTTACTGAAATTTGAACATCTTTGATACTAATACTAGTTTTAGTAAATATAAGATATACTAAAGTTGAATAAATCTAAGAAGTAATCTTAATACCATACTTAGTAAGTCTGTATTAAGACTAAATTTAAAAGACTATAGATACTTAGTAACATTCAATAAAATAATACTTAGATATAAATAATAATTAGATAACTCTAATCTAATATGTTATTATAATAGTAAGCTAAGTATTACATATATATACAAAAATAGTTTTAAAAATCAGAAAGTTTAAATAGGAGACTCAAAGACAGGTCTCAGATATGGCATCTAGTAGGTAACCTATGAGTAGAACTCTTAATTAGATAATAATTAAAGTTATATGTATAGCTAGTTGTACTTTTATTGATAGACTATACAGTATATATTATATATAATTATATATTACTTAATAAAAAACATACAGACATGATTGCTACTTCAAACTTAAATAAGATTTTAATTCTTTTGATCTTTCTTTAATTTATTTTTTAAAACAATAATTACATTTTACTAAATATTGTTTACTTTTAGTAGATTCTTTAATAAAATAATCTCAAACACAAGCTTCTTTATAACCTCTTATTTTTTTTAATAAAACTTTCAGATGCAATATTATATATAATTTGAATATTTTATAAAATAAAAAATTTGCAATTAATTGCCATTTTCCACACGGTTGCGATGAATTATTATATGTGACAAATAAGGACTTACTAATTAATCATATTAGTGAACTCTTATTTGTCATGCTAATAATTCATCACACAAAAACTGCAATTAATTGACATATTGTGACTGCACCACCAATCAATTAATTGAGTCAAAGAATTGTCTCCACAATCAATTATTCGGTACGCCTGGTACGTACGGTTAACATAGATTTTTTGTAAAATTAATTTTTTAAGTCTATTATCCATTTGTTATAAAGATGTGACGAATCATTTGGTTTGGCTAATAAGCATTATTTAATAGAATTATTTAGCTAATGCTTACTCTCAACACTGAAGATTCGTCACATCCTCATGCCAAATGAAAGAGGAGACCTAATCCTTTACAAGTAAACCCTTTTCTAATGTTTATGTTAGGGCAAGTGCGAGTATGGTTCTTTTTTCGTATGAGGTTATAGGAAAATTAGCTTTGTTTCGAAAGAATTTTTTTCTTTCACAAACAGTATGTACTATCATGATTTCTACATGTCATCCTAATTTGCTTTTTCCGTACCGCACTAATTTACTATATACCAGTAGTTCCAGGCTGAGTTAATGGTGACCATTTATTGCGCCAATATCAATTGTTTAAAGTGTCTTTTTTTGATGTTACCAAATTTATATTGCAAATAATTACTGTGGATAACTCATAAGAATTCCAGAATTCGCTACTTATATGAGTCAGGATTAATACTTTGCGAATGGCCAATGTTTCAATAAGTCGTTACAACCTTTATTAGCTCCCCAAAACTTATTTTTTCTTTAGTTTATTTTTTTATTTTATTTTTTACTTTACTTTTGTATGAACACGACTTTAAAATCAATTATTTTTTCTAGAAAACAATATATCGGTTTTACTAGAGGTACAGATATGAAAAGTTATAACAATCAATGTTGGAACTGAGCTTATTGAACAATTGAACCAAACGATTTTGTTAATTGCATTGTCGTAAAATGAAGACAAACAAAAACTAGTTAAAATTTCAAAGCTATTATGCATTAGTAAATCTATATTAACTGTTTAACCTCCTTGCATTATAGATAAATATTTACATCTTACGCGCATGAAATTTAATAATATTAAAAAGATATAAAAAAAAAAGTATATACAGAAATGTCGCATCAATATATTTATATTTTGTACAAATAATTAACGCTATAAAATAAGTAAAATTTGGTATTAAACTACGATAAAGATACTACAAAAGGATCGATATTTAATAAAATATTGTAAAACTTACTGTATTAGTTCGATTATTCGCATACATTATCTCTTTAATTCTTGGTATTTTGTCTAATTATTACTGCTTTTACTCTTTGGTTGGGCAAGCACATACCAACAAATTTTGAAATCTTTACATAAACTTTAAATTATAGATAAAAATATTTAATTATAACGAATAATAAAATAAAAACTATGTAAGTTGACAATTATTAATATGTTACCTTATTCCAGAATTATTTTTAATATGTGCTTCACACGTACTTCTGTCAATGCAATCGAATATAACTGTTGCTTCTGGTACATTGTCCCAGCAATCACCATTTTTTTTGACAACATTTCCAACAATATGATAATCATTATCGTCAAGTGGATCAGGAAATTTAATAATTACAGTATCTTGACTTTGTAATAAAATTTCCCCCTTAAAAATAATATCACATATTGGCATCCAATTTTCTAAAGATATAACTTCCCAATCATTAGGCTTATTTGCAAGCTTTTGCCACCAATCTCCAATTTTATTACGGCTAACGGCTTCACCTCTATTATTAAGAAAAATTGATGTGTCGATATCTCTATATTCAATATTCCACTCCTTTAAAAGGGTTTCAATTTTTTGAAGAGCGTTAGGATCATTTCCATCAAATATAAATTCTCGTTTCTTAATGTTTGTAGGATTATAATCTGATATATATTTTTTTGATAAAACTCCACCTAACATAAAAGTTCTTGGCAGTAAATGTCCATAATCGTTCCCAAGTAACCTGCAAAGATTTTTAAATGGCTCTTTACTATAAAGTTCTGAATTTATTGCATCTGTAAATTCTTGTAAATATTTAATATCTGACTGGTCAAAAGAAAGATTAATCGCGCGAAAAATAATTTGGCAATAAATTGCATTAGCAAATTTATGTTTAGAACGTTTGAAATCCTCCAGAGGAACATTAAGTGTTGAACTATATTCTGTAAAATTAATCTTATCAAGTTCTAATTCATTATTTAAAATTATACCATTTTCTAACATATAAGCCTCTTCATCAGTCTTTGGTTGTGATAATATAATGATAATCTCATTTACTTTGATTATTTTAGGTTCCTTTATAAATTTAAGTGCAGCCTTTTGACCACGTCTTAGCTTTGAACGTTGGAAAATTACACCATGTTGCAATACATTATCGTGGACCCAATTACAAAGATATAAATTATGTAACGATTCAAATGTTATCCACTCGAGAATATCATGAGCATCATATCCAGTAGGAATATTTGGAATTAATGTCAAGCGAGGGAATCTTTTAGCTAGTTTAAACCCAATAATATTACGTAATTGTCGTTGTAACTCTTCTGGTAAAAGTTCATAAGATGGAATAAATTCATCATATGATGTGATTTCTGCAAATTTGCAATCATATAAACTTTTAAACCAATTATATAAATCTTTAATAGTTTCTATATTGGATGAAGTTTCAAGACGTGGTAGCTTATCAAGTAATACATCTTCAAAAATATTTAAAGCATTCCCTCTCACATAATCAACTCCCCATTGAACATAACACATTAAATATGATTTATTTTCTTTAGAGATTTTTGACCAATCCCTAATAGTAATAGCACCACCAAGTGTGACCTTTGTAACTACATAATTACCATAATAATTAAATATCATTTCTAACTTCCTTTTGACTTCTGGCGGATCTGAAAGGCTAAGTACACTTTTAACATCCTGAATAAATTCATTTGTTGCTTTACATGTATATTGTACAGTTGCAACTGGAATATGAATTCGTACGCTGTCATCTTTTAAAATATTTACTGTGTCTCTTTGATTTGTAAATAAACACGAATTGCTCAAATCAATCCAAGGTGAAACCTTATGATTCGGAAGATAAATTGTCGGAGAACGCATATGTATTTTACGCATTTTTAGATCACCAATATTACGCATAACAGATCCATTCCCTTGGCAGAAATCAAATCCATCAATGTTTTTACCTTTATTTAAGGCGAAAAGGTTAATAAATTTTACTTTTTGTGCGCTATATATGTTTATGTGTGGAGGTTTTTCTACACATTGATTTGGACTATTTTCATCTTTATTACTGTAACTAGTTAGATCCATTTGTACCTTATCTAACATGCAGCGTATTTCGGAGATGTTCGGTCGTAGGTTCGGATTACCATTCCAAGCATTGTCATAAATATTTAAAAAGTCAATCGGTGTTCCATCAATTGGAGTTTCTCGTTTGCCGGATGCTACGTGAAGGGCTACTCCTGCAACGGACATATTTTTAAAAGGAGGTTCGCCACTTGATAATTCCCAAAACAGCATGCCAAGACTATAGATATCGCTAGGTTTTTCTCGTTTAAAATCAGTAAGCAGGAGATAATGTGGATCCATATAAGCAGAAATCCCGCCATGAATGGATTTTGAGCTATTTTCTAATGATTTAGATAAACCAAAATCTGTAATCAACGATCTATGATTATGCACCAATATATTCTTATCATGCTATTTAGTATGATTAAATTTATTAGATCTTGTATATATAACATATAAAATTTTAAAGGAATTGAATAATAGATGTCTTACAAGATCTCGATGAACAATATTTGCACTATGCAAACAATTTATACCATCAGCAATTTCTTTTGCCATTCTGATTTTTGCTGACCAATCTAATCTCATAAAATTATTCTGCAAATAACATCGAAGATCTCCATTGTTCGCATATTGAAGGACCATACTGTATATTTCATTCTTAGGATCTAATATAAAAAGTTTTACCGATTAGATATCTGGTAAAACTTATTTATATAAAATTAACGTACTTTTAGTAATTCCAAGGAATTGCACTATATTTTCATGTTTGCCAACTTCGTTAATGAATTTAATCTTGCGTAATAAAATATCATTAAATAATAAAAATTAGAATATTAAATTCATAATGTTTAAAATAATTCATGTAATATAACTTTTTTTAAAAAAACTTAGTACTTCTTTAATGAATTCATCTTCATTATTGTTAGTAAGACTTTTTAGAGCTACTATTTCCTCGGTTCCAGTATCTTTTAAATAAGCACGAACCACAGTTCCAAATCCACCTTCACCAACGCTTCCTAAAATTTCAAAAGAACTATATGTGTACGCTTTAACAGATTCTCGTTCAATAAGTTTGGTGACTTCAGGCCAAATTTCTTCGTTTGGATTCGAGGGCATATTCATATAAACATTAATATTACTAAAATTTAAGATTTAATTCAAATATTTTCTTGCTGATACAATTGATATATAAGTACTAGAAAGATTAAAGCCAAAAATCCTTTTTTAATAGGTACCATAAACATATCATTAATTTGTAAAAGTGCACAAAAACAAAAACATCATGTGCTATGATGCTCTTCGGACAATAGAGTTAAAGTTCCGATATTGTACACGTTAAAAAAATAGAACATATTTTTCAATAAGGGTTTGTGTTTATGTAATTGTAATACAATGATATTATCATGTGACAAGTAATGATCAATGCCAAGAATGTTGAGTATTAATAGATCTATATCTAACCACCAGATATTAAATTCATAAGCTATGATAAGATAATATGTAATTGCTAAGTAATGTATAAATAGCCTTAATATTTTGGGGGAATTGTCAGTTTTTTTATTCATTAATTAGAAGAATAATTAGGCTATCATTATAATGACGTACTTAGTAATAATGGCTATATTTATATATATTTAGCAATGCTTTTTTCGTAAATCACTGTAAACCCACTTGCCATTCATAGATTAATTTGTTAGTACGTACAAACAAAAAGTTTAGTTATTAACCTAATCTAGAAATACCAAACTTATAAGAGTGGTAGTTCAAGTGTAGCACATATCAGTCAGCAGACGTGTTATATATTGTTATATAATTACCGATAAAATAAATTAGGGAATTTATAAATAAAGGTCCAAAAATGAAAAAATAATTATGGATAAGGGCCCAAAATTACAAATAAGGACCTGTCCGATTTCCAAGCCATTCTAGGAGACTACGTTACAAGACTTATATAGTGTTACTCAGAAAAAATGGTAACCGGATTTTTTGCTGGCTTACATATGATTTCGAAAACTGATTGCAAGTAAAGATATGTATATCATGCTGAATTTTATTTTGAACTTTGTTTTGACTTTCACTTGGTTTTCGCTTTAGCTTTCACATGACACTCGATTTGACTTCACTTTAATTTCGGTTTGATTTTTCCTTATGCTAGGACTTTCCTTTCCTTTTACTTTCATTTTGAACAGGCCTTATTTGTAATAATTTTTGATTTTGGACCGCTATATGTAAGATTTGTTATTTTGTGCCCTCATCCGTAATTATTTGCATTTGGGTCTTTATGCGTAAATTCCACAATAAATTAATATACATATGTAGTGAAGCTAGAGAAAATGAATGTACTGAAACTAAGAGTTAAATAAGGAAAAAAATATTGGTTACATCCTTCTAAATTAATTTTAATCCTTTAAATTGTGTTTCAAAATATCATCCAAGTTTTTTATTTTGCGAGAGTACGGTATTTAAAAAATGTCGTAAGTCCAAAAAATGGTCGATGTAATTTCATTAATTAGTTCATGTGACATTTCTATTTTGATTGGTTGATTAAGGAAGTTCTCAAGCAGCTCCCTCAATGTGATTAGCTAGTGATCCAGATGTTGCTCAAATTATTGCGATTAATTAAGTGGTTAATGCAGTTAATTGAAGGTCAATTTGCTAAAAAAAATTCATTGTGTGAAATGCGGGTACTAAATTTTAGCTGAGCAATTCTTATGAAAAAAAAGATGGTCTACACTTATTTGGTTTATCTAATTTCCGACTAATTAAGATTTGCCTCCGATTTATTGATTGAAGTGCTTGAAAACACCTTTAATTGGAAATTTAAGAAATTACGTACGTTGTGAAAGACCCAGAGTACTATTTAGTCTCCGCAAAAATTTGAACTAATACTATTCGACACAATTTTCTTTTTTATGTATGTTAATTTCTTTTTATGTTATTTCCATTTTTGGCATAGCACAACAAAGTATAAACAAATATAGTATTAATTTGGTATATATCGAAGGATACAGCTAGAGATGACAAACCAAAATGTTTAAATCAGTTTTATATTGCTTTAAAATATATTTATACGTGTTTTAAAACATCGTCACTGATATTGATATCATGATTAATGATATGGTTATGATCATGATTAAAATTCGAATCTTTTGACTTTTTTTACTTTTGTAACACAAACTGATGGTTAAGAAATAAAAAATTCATAAAGTTGAACTTAACCAATTATATACAGTACTTTTAGTTTCATCCACCAGCGCCATAATTAACAATTTTTTAAACCATTTATTAAATCAAGTTTAAAAACATAAAAAATTATCAAAAGACATTGTTTTATTTAATAGATGTATTCCTACAAACTGAATTCCTAAATAATAAAAAGGGGAAATAATCTTGTTAATCTTTAAAAACCAATTTTTAATAGCAATCTCACTAATGCCAGACATATTAGCTTTCTTAAGCATATCAAAAAACTATATACCAAACTTCATACAAATTATCTAAATTGTATATTTACTGAATATGAAATTCTATTACTCTACAAATATATTGATTTACCACTGCTATTCTCATCGCATGATCCAATATCGATATTATTGTGCAATTATAGTTATGCTAAGTCGTGGTTGGCTGTTATGTCTGAAGTGAGATCACCTGAAATTTGATATGTTATACAAATATGCAAGTGGAGACAGACAGAAAATTCAAATTTGTGCTTTTGATATTCCTATTATGGATGCATCAAGAACGATACTTTGAAACATCAAAAACATAACTTTTGTATCACTTTACATAGAAATTGTGCATCCTCTGGACAATAAGAAAAAAATTAATCATAAACGTTTGATTAGTAAATACCTTGAGAGTTTACCAATCATTCATATATCGGAGTATCTGTGTTATTAATCAATTTTATGTGCTCTGATAGTAAATTGTGAAGGGATTAGTAAACCCAACATTTGAACAATAATTATTGAAATTGGCTAATATTTGTATCAGCCTATATCATTCGATTTGATATTATACTAGATTTTTGACTTCAACTTGTAACGTAATAATTTAATTTGTATGTATATTAATAATAAATAATATTGTTTATTAATTACTTAAATTAGTTTTGATATATATAATAAAACTTTTATAATGGTTTTTTTTTGGTGCTAAAATTTAATGTTCATTTTGTGAATCATATACAGTATTAAAATCTAGGGACCTAATTTAGACCCAATTCCGCAAATTCACCGATATGTGATACAAATTTCATAAACCATCCAACTAAAAGAGAAACAACCGATTCATTATCAGAATTTCCAGCTACACATCTCAAAAATAAATCGGTATCAGCAATAAAAGGAAACTCAGTCATGTCATCTGGAATATCAAAAATTTCTACATCGGTGTAGGGAAACTGATTTCCTGCGCGGTCATAAGGGAAAAAAGCTAACATCCAACCTGAAATATAAGTACCTCCTTCAGAACCGAATACTTCATTTATATTTATAATTCTACCCCAAAATTCTTCGTCAACTTCACCACTATATGCTGCTACTAATTTCAAAACCACAGGTTCAAGGCGATCTAACCAAAAATCAAGTTCTAAATTTAACTTTTTTAATTGAATTACTCTTTCTTGAAGCTTATCCCAATCTTCAAGAGTTCCCTCAAGTGTAACTTTTGGAATTACACAACAGTCTGTGAATTTATAACTGAAGTATGCCTTAGATGTATCCAATGATACAGTACGGCTTGTTGTTAAATTACTTGAAATTGTTGAAAAATCACATTCTAATAATTCTTTAGATTCAATTTCTTCCACATGCTCATCAGTTATCATAACAAGTTTATTTACAATTTGCCAATCATCTTCAAGAGTATCTATATCTAATATATCACCAACAAAAGCACTAATCCCATTTTTCTCTTCATTTTTAATACATCTGTGACGGAACTTCTCTAAATTATAATTAATATGATGACTAACGCCTTGAACAATAGTGAGCCAGATTTCATCAGGGCTTAAACATAAATGTTTATTATAGTTATAGGCATGCAAAATAGCAGCCGCAAAGCCGTTATTACAGTTAGTATCCACGAAAACTGTGTTTTTAGAGCTTGCTGCATCGTCATAATTGAAGGAAATTGCGGGTGGTTTTGTTTTTTTAAGTTTAGAAAGTTTGTCTTCTACTGAAATATGAGGTTCAAACTTATTGTCAAGAGTGACTTTATTGGGAAGGATTTGAGCACTATGAGAATTCATCTTTGCAGACTGCAAATATCGGTGATTATATGTTTATAGAGCTGTAAGCTTTTACGTGCATACTACGCATTAAATATAGATATGCTAAATTTGTTGATCTCAATGAATTTTTGGAAATAAGGTTTTAAACTTCAAGTTAATAATCTCGTATTGAATATACTAAATTTGGATGGCATTACCGCGCAGTATATCTGGGCTGGAGTGTAAATGACGTCAAAATTCAAATGAGGAAATTTTTATAATAAAAATGGTTAGTAATTATTTCCAAAATTTCCTTTTTTTGAATTTTGACGACGCCTCTAGTTGTGTTACGAAAGTTTCGTAATAATCAGACTATTCTTGCATTTCATTATCGTACAATTACGTAATAATTTTCATAAACGTAGTTAATTGTTTTCTCTTATACTTTACACATTCATTATCTATATTTTTTTGCAGAGTTAAAAGATTTATTAATTTCACGTAATTATTTCTGATTTATTGGAGGCTAATAGAAAAACTATGAAAAGCGTTATTGTAGCTAATAGAGGTTGATCTCTTTTTGGATTTAAAAAGTTCTCTAGTTGTACTTTACGAGAAATCTAATAAATTGCATCTAATAAATTGCTCAAATAATAAATCCATATAATACATACATTACGTTGTACATAGTTATGTCCATTTATATGATATCTGATTTTTTTTAGCGTACAGTACGTATAGTCGTATAATATGTATAGACATATAGTTGTATAATGTGTATATCATGTAACAATGCGCATATTATAATAACATACATGACTGCGCATTAATGCGCACGAAATGTTTCATGCGCATGATAAAAAAAAGGCAAAAAAAAAAAAGGCGATCGAGAGGAGAGAAATCTTGATGGGATAAAATGCGCATGAAACTCATCTCTAAGCACGCGCAATACGTATGGTATGCATATGATATATAAACCATCTATATACAAAATTTTGCAAGGAATAATTTACTTGGAAAATAAATTGTGCGGTTTCATAAGTAAAAATTTGAGATATGAAAATTTTTATCATTTGTTCTAGAATATTCTAAAAATTTTTTTGCGTACAGTACTATACACGGCACTTCACTAGTTGTACCCATATTTTAATGCTCACAATTTGCTAAATTACATTGTTCGTTCTCCCCAAATCGTGACATTGGAAGACCTTTCCATTTTAGGGTGGTAAATCTACTAAATCATCAGAACAATGTGTGGTTGGCAATAAACTCATAATGATACTATGTAAGTGGGCACCAATGGCCCCTTTTTCATTATACAACCTAGTTCGTTATCTAAATTTTGCTGAAATGGATGGTTTTAACGGAATATGTGCATAATGTTGGTACGTATCTGTTACCAAAACAGGAATGAGGTTGAAAAAAATAATCATAATGCATTCATTCATTTTCAAAAAGTGTAAGAATATATAATCTTGGATATTGTTATGTAAATGGTATTGGCATTGAAGATAAACCTTAAGCATTCATTTATTATTAAAAGTCTTCTGATATAGGCTATAAAATTGCTATCAATATTGAAAAGAATTATCATAAAGTGCATATTTATTCCTTAAATTTTACTAATATATTATTAATAAGGACAACAAAATTTAGAAAATGTTTAACTATGTATACCCATAAAAGCATAAGTTGTGTGTTACACTTGTATGCAAAGTAGAATAAGTACAATATCATCATCCAAAACATTATTTATAAATCCATCTCATATTTAACAATTTTTTTTCTGTAACAATTAGGGATTGGACCTGGTAGAAATTGTTACCCGAAATACATAATAATTTACCCGGATAACCAGGGTAATTTAATAATACTCGGGTAGAGATTTTCTCAACGGGTCCAACCAACAGGAGGAACCGTTGATGTTACACGATTGATTTTACACACGTTGTGAAACACATAAAAAAATTATTTTACAATACTTTCTTGTTATCTGGCAGGTATGATGTATACACTGACGGAACCATATTATTACTCAAATAAACTCTCTTTGATTAATAATAAGCACTGATAATTAAAATGATGAATATATTTAAATGATAAAATGAGCGATTGCATTTTGATTTAACACTCTCTTTAATATTTCAATAACACATAATATATTACCAATCGATGAAGATATTTTAGAGCTTTTTAAACTCTCACAAGTTCACAATACAGATAAATGTACAGCAAAATGGTTACGGACAGTTAACAGATATAGAGAAGCATCCAGTTATGAGAAATCATTTGAAAGCATATCTGAAGTTGTTGTGCTTGAAAATTTTCTCTGCAAGTTAATTGTATAGTTAAAATATTTAGATGGAAAGGAATATAAAGCTGAAAGCATTCACAATTGTTATGTTTTTCTTACACAATATTTGAAAGAACATTCTGTTATTAAGTTATGCAACATATAGAATTCTTATAAATTCAGAAAGGTTTTATGAATATTGGATAGTAAAATGAAAAAGTTACAGAAAAAAGGGTTAGATGAAACAGATCAGTTAGCAACACTTATAATAAATGAAATTTTCTATATTTTAGATCAAGATTCTATGTCTGATGTTAACATTAAGAGTTTTACACATTTTTGATTATATCTTTTGATGTACCAAACTAAATTGGATGAAACTACCACCATTGGATTCAGCTCACTGAGACGATTCTAACAAGCATAAGATCATATGATTCTAATTATGGAATCATAAGATCAGAACAATTTTGATGAAAACATTAATTCTAGTACATGTAACTTAATTCTGATTAGCTCACATTACTATGCTGGAAATTTAACAAATCTAACATTTCTAACAGATCTATTAGATTTAACATATCTAATATATCTAACAGATATTATATATCTATTATATCTATCATTTCTATTATATCTTTTATATCTATTATATATATTATATTCATTATATCTATTATTTCTTATATATATTAATATTACTATAAATAGTATTTATTAGCAATAGAATAGTCTTTATTGTAATAATTTATATATATATAATATCTATAAAAGTATTACTTTCTGGTCTTTCAAGAAAATTAAATATTTTTACACTTCATATAAGTGTTTTCATATACTTAGAAGTTTTTTCATATATTTTATAATTAATAAACTGAATGCAATATTTAATATCTTCATATACTATCTATTGTTACCTGTCTTAAAATCCCAAATTATTCTGTATTTTATTAAGTCTTGTATAGACTTTTGTATAGAATTTGTCAAGTTATAGTCATTATATTATAGTTGAACAACTTCTGTTATTATTGTAATTAAAGGAAAAACTACAAATTAATACTAAAAATAATAATAAAAACTTAGTTCAGTGTATATTTTTTTGGCTTTCATTATTCTATGATTTGTAAAGTGATAATATAGTTAAATTAAAAATAATCAATATATCTTGACAACTTAATAATAGATTGTTTTTAGTTCTTATATATAAAAAAAATAACCAATAAGGCATCTTGAAGCATAACAAATATAGAAAATCATTTGCAATAAAATTACTAATCTCTCTTGATAATCTAAACAATAGATTCAAACTAGTTTATAACATTTTAAAAATAATTTCACTTCACCTTTTTAATATTAATAATACATTATTTTTAGAAACTAGTAAGACTAAAAAGAGTATATATATATATTTATATATATTAATATATACATATTTATATGAAGGATTAAGTTAATGATAGTTAGACCCAATGTACAGGACAGATCATGATATCCTCTGCAACTGTGAAAACTGAGTATATGCCAATCATATCTATAAAAGGAAAACCTAACTTCTCAGATAACAACTCATTACATTCTTTTGAGAATTCTTCTCCAGAAAATTTTTTATATTCATTTCTCAAAAAACACAAATGCCTAATATTTTTATTAACACTCTAACAAACTTTAAAACTACTAATGTTGATTATGAATCATCAACAGAAGATCCAAATAATACTATCAACTTACCAAATACTAAAACTATTAAAGAAAAAACCTTCATCCAAATTCCAGACCTCTCAAAAATATACAATTCCTCAATATGCTTCAACAAATTCCTTTCCTTTTATAATCTATAACTCCTACCTTTATCACAATTAATAGGCTCATTTCTAAAATTTATTCAAAATGAATATCCAAAATACTATTCAGAACAATATATAAAAATTTTTATTAAAACATCTAAAAACAATATATTCGAAAAAGCACATATTTACCTTTTATAAGAAACTAACCCCCTATTCAACTTTACCAATATTTTTTTTGAAAATCTTATAAATTTTCAAAATTTTCTACTTAAAACAAATTACACTTCAACAAGATTCAAAATACCTTCTCTCTCAAAATGTCAAAACTCTCTTTTATCTATAACATCAATATCTCTTAAACCCCCTTCTATTATAATACATATAAACAACAACATTTTAATTCCTAAAAATTCAAATATTACAAAATTAATCAAAATACACTTACTAAATATTAACAGTCTTCTTGATAACTTCAAACAACTGAGTCTAATTGACTTTATTTCAGAAAATCAAATTGATATTTTTGGAATTTCAGAAACACATCTATCTGTCAAAGAAGCAAAGTTCTCAATACTCTCACAAAAACTTATAAATTACAAATGCTTTTGAACATTAAGTAATGCTTGCCAAGGTGGTGTAGGAACATTAATCTACAAATTACTTGTGAAGACATTGAAAAAATACAGATATACAAAAACTTTCTTCTAGAAATTAACATATTTCTCAAAAATGTTCATATTAAACTAATCCAACTTTACTTTCCAACTCAAAAAAAAAAACAATTCCAAAAAGACATTCTTCAATACTTTACTCCTATTCTTAATAATACCAACTACAAAATAATTTTAATGAGTGACCTAAATGGAGTCTCAAATCCTAAACTAAATTGACTATTACAGAAAAGCTCAACTATACCTGAACATTTTCTTTTAAGAATACTCAAATCTCTTTAATTTTAT